TATTTGGTTATGCTAATCTATTCAAAAGTGATCATTCTGAATACAGTGTACAGCAAATATATCGACTGAAGAGTGTATAAATACAGGACTGTAAGACTGCAACTACACTGTCCACATGAAGATTATTCATCAACTTCTCCCTCTGTGAATTTCACACCTTCAGTGTATCTAATGCAGGGACTCCATGTGTTTTAATAAATAAATAAATGCTGTTCAGCTTTTAGTATGTAATGATCTTTTCTAATGGCAGGCTTGACAACATCTTTCTTATCCATTGAGTTGTGTTTGGTCTTGTGCTTTTGTCCATAGCAAAGCTACACATTATTTGGCATAAAGCATGCTGAGGTGTATAGAGAAATGTTCGCTATAGTTTGAGTTCTCTGGGTAAAAGCCCAGCAAAACAGATTCATGCTACATTTAATATTATATATAAATATACACGATAGACACTTTATATTAGACTATATTTAGAACTTGTGCTCATCTCAGTATGATACCTGTCAGTACTGTATAAATAAAAATGAAATTTACGAGTGATTTCTGAGTGAAAAGTAAATGCTAAGTAATTTTGAGATAAAACACAATGCACAGATGTCTCTGCAGTCTATAATTACTGCTGTCTGCAAAGGCTCCGCTGCGATTTACACCTGGCGGATCATAAAATACCAGACTTAAAAGAGAAAACAGGCTTAGAGCCCCTGAGCACTATCCAGGAAATTTCATAGCTGGATTGAGCTCCTGTAATGTCTAGCACTCAATGAGAAATCATCTGAACTCAATATTAACCACTTAATACAACACAAAATACCCAGACAACAATCCACAACAGCCTCTGCAACCTTTCTGGACTATAAAACACTTTTATTTTTTTATAATTGACAACAAACAACAAACAAACAATCATATTTGCCATATAATCATATCAATGTCAAACACTCTGCACCTAGCAACACCATGGCAACTGAATAAAAATCATTCAGGATGCTTTAATAGCTGCATAGTAACAGTCTGGCAACCACTTAATACATAGCAACTGACTAACATACACCCACTGTAAGTTGCTTTATGAATCACACAGCAACACTTTGGCAACACTTTGATTTAGCAACAGCATAGCAACTGACTAAAATACACTCAGGATACTTTAACAACCGAATAGAAATGCCTTGGCAACACTCTACACCTAGCAACAGCATAGCAACTGACTAAAATACACCCAGGATGCCTTACCAACCACATAGAAACACCTTGGCAACACTCTACACCTAGCAACAGCATAGCAACTGACTAAAATACACTCAGTATGCTTAAACCACAACATAGCAACACCTTGGCAACACTCTACACCTAGCAACAGTATAGCAACTGACTAAAATACACTAAAGATGCTTAAAAGGCACAAAGCAACACTTTGGCAAAAATCTGCACCTAGCAACAGCATAGGAACTGACTAAAACACACTCAGGGTGTTTTAACAACCACATAGCAACACCATGGCAACACTCTACACCTAGCAACAGCCTAGCAACTGACTAAAATACACTCAGGATGCTTAAACCACAACATAGCAACACCTTGGCAACACTCTACACCTAGCAACAGCATAGCAACTGACTAAAATACACTCAGGATGCTTTACCAACCACATAGAAACGCCTTGGCAACACTCTACACCTAGCAACAGCATAGCAACTGACTAAAATACACTCAGGATGCTTTACAAACCACATAGAAACGCCTTGGCAACACTCTACACCTAGCAACAGCATAGCAACTGACTAAAATACACTCAGGATGCTTTACCAACCACATAGAAACGCCTTGGCAACACACTATACCTAGCAACAGCATAGCAACTGACTAAAATACACTCAGGATGCTTTACCAACCACATAGAAACGTCTTGGCAACACTCTACACCTAGCAACCACATAGAAACTGACTAAAATACACTCAGGATGCTTTAACACCACATAGCAACACAATGGCTACACTCTGCACCTAGCAACAGCATAGCAACTGACTAAAACACACTCAGGATGCTTTAACACCACATAGCAACACCATGGCAACACTCTGCACCTAGCAACAGCATAGCAACTGACTAAAACACACTCAGGATGCTTTAACACCACATAGCAACGCCATGGCAACACTCTACACCTAGCAACAGCATAGCAACTGACTAAAATACACTCAGAATGCTTTAACATAGCAACATCTTGGCAACACTCTGCACCTAGCAACAGCATAGCAACTGACTAAAATACACTCAGGATGCTTTAACACAACATGGCAACATCTTGGCAACACTCTTCACCTAGCAACAGCATAGCAACTGACTAAAATACACTCAGGATGCTTTAACACAACATGGCAACATCTTGGCAACACTCTTCACCTAGCAACAGCATAGCAACAGACTAAAATAAACTCAAGATGCTTTAACACCAAATAGCAATACCATGGCAACCAAGCAACACCTAGCAACAGCATGGACAGGGACATGAAGGGAACGAGCAAAACAAGACAGCGGAGAACACACAGACCCGTATCCGGCAGCCGAGACGATCTTCCTTCAAACGAGAGGATCATCTATCAAACTAGTCCCGACAGGACATCCAGAGCTCTGCTGCAAGTGCCTAGACGAGTGCATGGAGCTGGAAACACTCTAATATGAGGGAGGCACCGGCAGCGCTTTCCCCATATTCTGCTGTGAACTCAGTCAGCAGGACAGGATAACCCCACCCCACCATGCCACTCAAAATGGCAAAAAAATAAGGGAAGATAAACCTAAAACAAACTATTTTAGAGATTTAGGCTTAATTCATACTGTATAATATCATTTTACATCAAAAATTTTTAATTTTAATTTTCAGTTTGTACACATTGAAATACAGTGCAGCCCTTTACATGCATCTCTTGACAACAATAACCTACATTTACAAATTATACAAAATAAAAGGACATTTACATAAAATAAACAAACAAATAAATAAAATGCCCTTATTTGGTCAATGCTAATCTATTCAAAAGTGATCATTCTGAATAAAGTGTACAGCAAATATATCCATTGAAGAGTGTATAAATACAGGACTGTAAGACTGCAACTACACTGTCCACATGAAGATTATTCGTCCACTTCTTCCTCTGTGAATTTCACACCTTCAGTGTTTCTAATGCAGGGACTCCATGTGTTTTAATAAATAAATAAATGCTGTTCAGCTTTTAGTATGTAATGATTTTTTCTAATGGCAGGCTTGACAACATCTTTCTTATCCATTGAGTTGTGTTTGGTCTTTGCGCTTTTGTCCATAGCAAAGCTACACATTATTTGGCATAAAGCATGCTGAGGTCTATAAATACTTGCTCACTATAGTTTGAGTTCTCTGGCTAAAAGCCCAGCAAAACAGATCCATGCTTCATTTAATATTATATATAAATATACACGATATACACTTTATATTAGACTATATTTAGAGCTTGTGCTCATCTCAGTATGACATTTACGAGCGATTTCTGAGTGAAAAGTAAATGCTAAGTAATTTCGAGATAAAACACAATGCACAGATGTCCCTGCAGTCTATAATTACTGCTGTCTGCAAAGGCTCCGCTGCGATTTACACCTGGCGGATCATAAAATACCAGACTTAAAAGAGAAAACAGGCTTAGAGCCCCTGAGCACTATCCAGGAAATTTCATAGCTGGATTGAGCTCCTGTAATGTCTAGCACTCAATGAGAAATCATCTGAACTCAATATTAACCACTTAATACAACACAAAATACCCAGACAACAATCCACAACAGCATCTGCAACCTTTCTGGACTATAAGACACTTTTATTTTTTTATAATTGACA